TGTCCATGTAACCCACATGCTCCTCAGCCCTGCTCCAGTGGAGCACTTAGTAGGTGATAGGTTGGGACATTTGAATTTAAAATTCTATCTGTACAGGAGCTGGGAAGGTGGCTCAGTGGTAGAGTGCTTGCCTTGCATGCATGAGGCCCTGGGTTTGATTCCTCAGTACCACATAAGCAGAAAAAGCTGGAAGTGGTGCTGTGGCTCAAGTGGTAGAGCACTAGCCTTGAGCTGAAGAGCTGAGGGATAGTGCCCAGGCCCAGAGTTCAGGCCCCATTACTGGCAAAAAACAAAAACAAAAACAAAAATAAAACCATAAAATTCTATCTGTACACTCTGGTCTTTAGCTATCAATGACCTGTTCAGAAGCAATGGGAAATACCAAGTTTCCATGCCACTCACTGACAGGAGACTGAGTATAAATGTTAGGGCTATCCAGAAAGAAACAGAGCCAATAAGATATGTATTTGGAGGACATCAGTAGATTGGTTCAGCCAGCAGCCAGCTTGGCACAGCACCCCCTTCCTCCCCCCCCCCATACACAGTGGGGTTACCACCCAGGGAAGAGGCTTGGGTCTAGTCATAACCCAGGCCAGCTGTCCTATAAGCCACCACCCAGGGGGTGGGCATTGGCTCTTGCCATGTCCCAGATCAAACCCACCTTTCTCCAACCACTACCCAGGAGAGGGTCTGGCCTGATTCAAACAAACTAGTCATAAGCCCAGGCCAAGCTAATATCCTGTGGCTACTACCCTGGAGAAGGTCTGGCCCCATTCAAATATGGCAACCATAATCGGACAGATTGCCTGAAAGGAGGAGGGGCATGGGGGGGGGGGGGAGGAGGATAGAGGCAACATAAAGCAACATCTCAGGACCACACAGTGGGACAACAGGTTTCTGGGTCCTGCTGCTTATTCTGAGTGGCCTTTACTTTCTCTTTGCTAAATAAACTCTATAAAACTGTGCACATCATTCCTGGTATTATTTCAATACTACTAGAAAACCCACCGTGCTCATGTCTTGTGCATTACATTCATATAGAAAGAATTTAAGGAATCAGCTAGTGTGGTTGTGAAGGCTTGGCAAGTTCCAAAATCTGATAGGGAAGGCCCTTATCTCTCCTTCCACGTTGGAGACTCAAGGCAGAGTTGCAGATCTAGTCAAAGGTAGTGCTCAAGAATTCTCTCTTGATCGGGATGAAGTGGGCTGTTTGTTTTATGCAGAACTTTGATGAATTGGACAAGGCCCACAGCATTAGAGAGAGCAAATTTCTTCACTCAAAAGTCTACAGATTTTGCCGGGCGTTGGTGGCTCATGCCTGTAATCCTAGCTACTCAGGAGGCTGAGATCTGAGGATCTCGGTTCAAAGCCAGCCCGGGCAGGAGAGACCATGAGACTCCTATCTCCAATAAACCACCAGAAAACTGGAAGTGGCGCTGTAGCTCAAGTGGTAGAGCGCTTGCCTTGAGCTGAAGAGCTGAGGGACAGCGCCCAGGCCCAGAGTTCAGGCCCCACGACCGACAAAAAAAAAAAAAAAAGTCTACAGATTTAGGGCTGGGAAGGTGGCTCAGTGGTAGAGTGCTTGCCTTGCATTCCTGAGGCCCTGGGTTCCATTCCTCAGTACCACATAAGCAAAAAGAAAAAAGCCGGAAGTGGCGCTGTGGCTCAAGTGGTAGAGCGCTAGCCTTGAGCTAAAGAGCTGAGGGACAGCGTCCAGGCCCAGAGTTCAGGCCCCACAACCGGACCCAAAAAACAAAACAACAACAACAAAAAAGTCTACAGATTTAAACATCCCCCTCCCCCAAAAGACACCTTCATGTAAATGTTTGATCAAGTTTCTAGGCACAGTGGTTCAACTGAAATGACATAAAATCAGCCATGGCAATGAGTCACAAAGTGCTGGCTCAGCAAGAGATTTGGTCAAAAGTTGTTTCTGCTTTGGTGCTTCACTGTTCTTTATTTGGTCCTACTGGTTCTATTTTTATTTTTAGCCAATCCTGGGACTTAAACTCAGGGTCTGGGCACTGTCCTTGAGCCTCTCTGTGCTTAAGGCTAGCACTCTAACACTAGAGCCACAGTGCCACTTTTGGCTTTTTCTGAGTATGTGATACTGAGGAATCGAACCAAGGGCTTGATGCATGTGAGGCAAGCACTCTACCATTAAGCCACATTCCCAGCTCATCCTACTAGTTCCATTTCAGTGTGTTATCATCTCTCCTCATCTTTCAGGCCCTTTTCTTCTCTGACTCTAATTCTCTTCCTGTTTTCATAAGAAGCCCTCCAGCTTGTAGAAAACCATGTTGGCCATTTGCAATTTAGGATAAATTTAAAGCATTCTATTAATGTCTTATTTATCTTTTCTTTTTTCTCTTGATAAAAGGAAAGCACACTGGGGATTTCAGGGAAGAGCTGAAGAGCTAAGTGTTTTGTTTTATTTTACACATAAGGAAGAGACATTAGGACAAAGGGACAATGAGATTTTATAGAAGACAGAAATGAAGTCAACTCTGGGGATCTAGAAAAGTTGCAGGTATCTCTTCAGAGTGTCATCGCTATAGCAAATGAGCTCCGATTGCTTCTGTCTTTATTCCTCAGGACAGTGAGACTGCAGTTAGTTGTTTTGGAGAGTGTGTCTGATTGATTGAACCAGGGTTCTGAATTCACTTCTCGGCCAAGGTTGCACATACTGGGTGGGGGTGGGGAGAAGCTATAATCAGCATGAACTGGAGGCAGCAAAACTATTTGTTGCCTATGAGCAATCACTGAAAGGACTGTGAAGGAGATGATGCAGAATGATCAGACTGTGTTTCTAATATGACCTTGAATATCAGAACACAGCACAGATGGGCTACAGATACACAGGGGCAATGTGGAACAAGGTCTGTCCTTTCCCTCCTGCTGGATGCTAAGCTCCTTATAATTAAGAGCTATGTCTGCTTGTAATGTGGCTAGGAGATATTCAAGAGCTGTGCACATTTTGTTTCATTTTAATGCTTATGGAGTGGATATAAAGAGACTCTTCTGGGTAGAAATGTACATAAGCTGGTATGCTGGACCTTTTCCACCAGGCCTACCCTCCCAAGATGATAAACATTCCATCTTGTTGGGAGATTGAAATCATTTCCATTTGCAAGCTACATACCTAATAAAACAAGACAGACTGGTGGTACATCAACATTTTTGCATTAGTCTCCAATCAATGATCAGCAATATTTGATCATTACATAGGGAGCCAGGGTCATCGTCTAGATCTTGTCATTTAGGCAAAATCTCTTTGATTTATATGCTGAAATGAAAAGAACAACAATAAACTAAGTTGTGACCATTAACCTTATCTAATTTTATCTCTCACTTTACAAATAGGGACATAGAGGCTCAGAAAGGGGTAATGGACACTAGGTGAGTGACAGATACAGACCTGAACTCCAGACTCTTCATTAGTTGTTATAGCTTTTGCAAGTGAACAGATCAACTGGGTTTCAATCTTTCCTGATGATCCTTCTGATTCATCTGTAATTTAATTCAAATCTTGTATGTCCAATGAAGCAATGGGATTCTCAGGTTCAGCATGAGACCTTATGAACCTGACATGACTTCTTCCGTTCCCTCCTCTATCTTCAACTCCTGCTTCTCAATCCCCCTCCCACCCCCATATTGAAAAAAAAACCTCCCCCCACCCTGCAATTAGATATGAGAAATGAAAGATAAACCTATAAATTCTTATCATCTTGGGAAAATACGAAGCATGGGAGCTTTTCTGATGCTTATCAGAAAACTAAATTGGCAGAAGTTTTTCTTTGTGCAGGGTGCTTGACGTTCTGAGATTTCCACTGAAGAAATGGTATGCTGGGAGCTAGAGATGTGGTTAGGTTGTAGAGGACTTGGTCAGAAAGCCTGAGGTCCTGAGTGCGAACCTTAGTACCCACCACCTTCCACACACACACACACACACACACACACACACACACACACACACACACTTCTAGGCACTCAGGAGGCTGAGATGCAGGGGATCACAGTTCAAAACCAGCCCAGACAGAACTCCCATCAAAATCCATCTTCAAAAATAACCAGCAAGCTGGGCACTGGTGGCTCACGCCTGTAACCCTAGTTACTCAGGAGGCTGAGACCTGAGGATCACGGTTCAAAACCAGCCAGGGCAGGAAAGTCTGTGAGACTCTTATCTCCAATTAACCACCAGAAAACCGGAAGTGGCGCTGTGGCTCAAGTGGTAGAGCGTCTGCCTTGAACTGAAGAACATTGACAATTTCAGGAATTAGGAAAACAGGTGGGCCTACAAAGAAAAGCCTGACTTCATGTAGAATTTTAATTCAGAACCTGGTACTTGCTACTGACTGTTCTTGGGAGGATGGTGGGGGTTGGGGGGTGTCTCAGGGCATTCATACATACATAGGTCTGATAATAAAGCAGGAAGGCATTAAAAAGAGAACTGCACTTGGGAGGATGGTGGGGGTTGGGTGGTGTCTCAGGGCATTCATACATACATAGGTCTGATAATAAAGCAGGAAGGCATTAAAAAGAGAACTGCATCTGGCAGGGAGGGTGGTGATTACAAGCATCAAAGACGCTGGGCGCCTGTGGCTCACGCCTGTAATCCTACCTGCTCTGCTCAGGAGGTTGAGATCTGAGAATCCAGGTCATAAACCAGCCTAGGCAGGAAAGTTTAAAAAGCTCAAGGACAGTGTCCAGGCTCTGAGTTCAAGCCCAGGACCCGCACAAGACAAAACAAAACCAAAAACAAAGCATCGAAAACCTGGCTACAAATTCGCAACAGAGGAGCTAGAGCGAGCATCACGCGGGCACGCGCACCCCTGGAACGCAGTCACCTTGCGGCCGCTCCGCAGCCTCCACCCAACATGGCGCCGCCGCCGCCGCGGGCACACGCGCACGCGCACGCGCATGGCAGGGGGGGAGGCGGGGACGCGGCCGGGAGCGTTCGCGTCCTCACGGCGGCTGCGTGCCTGCGCCGGGGCGGGCTGGCGGCCTCCAGCGGGTGCGCGCGCGGACTGGAGCTGCTGCTGGCGAGCCGGACGTGTCCGCAAAGATGGCGGGCCGGGTGAGTGCCGGCCGGGGAGGGAAAGCCCTGGCTCGAGGAGCCGAACGCCGGGCTCGCGGCCCGGCACTGGGAGGTCCAGGCGGCCCCAGAGGAGGGGGCGTGAGGGCTGGCAGTGAGGCACCGGCAGGGCAATGCGGGGCTTGAGGCTGACGGAGGGGGAGCCCTGGCCGGGGGATTAGCTCTCCTCAGAAACTCCGTCCCCCTCGAAGCTGACCCGGGGGGCACCGGTGTCGCCCCCTCCCCCCCAGTCGCCCCATGCGCTTCCTCCCGGGGGCTTGTTTCCTGGTCCTCAGGCCGCCGCAGGATCGTGGACCTCCCACCCCGCGCTTCTAGCCTCGGGGGTTTCTCCGCGCCCCCCGGGGGCAGGGGGGAACCGACGAGGTGGCGCGGGCGGAATAGCGGCGGGGGTCCGGGCGCCTGCAGTCGGGGCGAGCGGTGCTGGACCCCCAGGTCCATTTCTGGTTCTTCATAAATGGAAGGTCTTGTGAAAGGGGGCGCGGGGTTTCACCCCAGACCTGCGAGCTGTCGAGTCTCTGCGGAAACGGCTTTCGCTTGGGATGCAGATGGATTTGGGGAGTCGCGGTTACAAAATAATAATAATAATAATAAAAGTACCATTCGCTTTGAATGCAGCCAGAATATGCTATAGTTTCAGGGGCTTTAAATTATACTTCCTCCTTTAGCTTCTGGGATCGCGGGGTAGGATGGGTTTGGCGTGGAGCGATAGGGCTGACCGAGGGCTGTATTGCAGTATGCATTGAGCTAAAAGCTCCCAGGGATGCAACCTGCCCTGTGATCACGCTGATCGTAAGCCTGGGGACATTAACTGCGTCATTAGGGGCTAAAGATGTGCTTGACTCGCCTCTACCAGAATAGTGGGATGCATTTGCATACAATTATGAATATATGTATATATGCAAATGACAATTGTAGATCATAGGATTCTAGAGTCAGAAGAGACTTTAAAGGTCATCTGTCTAGATTAGCTATTTTCTCTTCCTTGCCCCCCCATAGCCTCCCCCTTTTATCTAAGGCTGGTTTCATCTTCCAAGCCCCACCCCTCCCCCTCCTGTATATCACCTGCTTCGAAACATACTCAGGCTTCTCCTATCTTAAAACAAACCTTCTGTCCACCCCCACATCTGTCACCCTTTCTGTCTCCACTTTATAACTAGAAATTCTGAGGTAGTCATCTATATTAGCTTCCGTGTTTCTCATACTCAGCCCACTGCAGTGTGATTCAGATGGGCTCTTTATCGTCCCAGGGAAATGAGTCTCTAACTTTATCCCCCCCTCCTCCACCAGTCTGCTTAATATTTGGCAGTATTAGACTGCCTCTTTAGTGGAGGGCGCTTCCCATGGCTTCTGTGATGCCTTGCTTTTGTTTGGACTCCCCCTTGGCTTTTGCAGACTCACCCTCTACCCTGTCATTCAATGTTGCTATTCCTCCAAGTCTTTCTTCTCTTATTTTCTCCTTAGGCAATTCCCTCTAAACCCATAGCTATGGAGCTATGAGTATAACAGTAATTCTCATTATTTTATTCCCCCCCCCCCACCAGACCTGTCATTTCAGTTCCACATTAATACACTAAACTGCTTATTCAACACCAAGGTCTCCTAAGCTCTGCTGGTTCAGATCCAAACCCATGATCTTTGCCACCTAACTGGTACTTTTCCTGTATCTTTTTTCACTGAATGGCACCATCACCCATCCAATTACATAGGCTGGAAACCTTGGGTAGGGGAGCTGGTTTACCCTTTATTTACATCTCTTTCCATGTCTTCTGCTCCCTGGTAAAATTCATCACTGAGTTCTGTCCCCCATACACACCAAAGAAAGGCCCCTCTCCCCCCAAAAAAGGTCAGGATGGGAGCATTGTTGCTTTAAACTATACCTAAATGCTAAAAACATCTACTGACCCAGTCACCTGTTATTTTGCCCTCTTAAAAAACTCTGATAAGTCTACCTTTCCTTTTTGTTTTTTTGTGGTGCAGGGACTGGAAACCAACCATTAGCCTTGTACCACAGTCAGCACTGTCCCTCTGAGTTACATCCCCAGTCCGCCTCTCTACATCTTCATTTTCACCTTCTTTTCCCTTCCTGGTCTAGACTACTGCAGGAAGCCTCCAAATAGTCTCCTTTTGACACCTAGCCCACTTCCATCCACTCTCCACACTAGTGTTCCTTCCCATGTCCCTTGGCACTTAAACCCCTCCTTAGCAGCATCCCATTACTTTGGGTAGGTGATCACACACTTAACAAGGCTTCCAAGGCTCTTTGTGGTTTTGTCCCTGCTTCTCTTCACTCACTCTCTTACCATCTGCACTCAGGTTATATAAGCCTTTCCATTCTTGAACCTACAAGGTCTTTGAACTGTTTCCTTTCATTATTATGTCCCCAGCCATTTACCTCCTACTTAGAGATCCCTTGGAGAAGCCTCTTCTGGCCTTACACTATAGAGCAGGATTCTTTGTTATTTATATTTGAAAAACTATATTCTCCCCTTAGAGATTTGTCTTTTTTTCCATTTGCTGTATATTAGTGTTATTATTTACCTTGACCAATAGACTTGACTTTACGTGAAAGCCAAGCCCAGTGTAGTTATTAACAAATTATTATCTGGGATCTAGGAACATAGTTGTTTCTTTCTCTTTTTTAGTTTCTTTGCTCAAGTGATCCTTCTACCTCAGTCTCCCAAGTAGCTGAGTCTACAGGTGCATACCTCTCTCGCTCTCTTTCTCTTTCTCTCTCTATACATATATATGTATGTATTTTGTGTTCATGTGTGTGTGTGTGCGGGTGTGCATGTGCCACTATTAGGGCTTGAACTCTGAGCTTGGGCACTGTCCCTGAACTTTTTGCTCAAGGCTAGTACTCTACTCCTGGAGCCACAGCTCCACTTCTGGCTTTCTGGTGGTTAATTGGATATGAATCTCACAGAAGTTCTTGCCCAGGCTGACATGGAGCCATAATCTTAGATCCCAGCCTCCTTAGTAGTAGTAATAGGGTTTTCTTTTCTCTTCTTTTCTTTTTTTTGGTCAGTCGTGGGGTTTGAGCTCTGGGCCTGAACGCTGTCCCTCAGCTTTTCAGCTCAAGGCTAGCACTCTACCACTTGAGCTACAGATCTACTTTTGGTTTTCTGGTGGTTAAAGATGTGCTTGACTCGCCTCTACCAGAATAGTGGAATTCATTTGCATACAATTATGCATATATGCAAATATAGGATTCTAGAGTCAAAAGAGACTTTAAAGGTCATCTGTCTAGATTAGCTATTTTCTCTTCCTTTCCCCCCCATATCTTCCCCCTTTTATCTAAGGCTGTTTTCATCTGTACTTCCAAGTCTCCCCCCTCCTCCTGAACATCACCTGCTTCGAAACATACTCAGGACTCATGGACTTTCCTGCTCAGGCTGGCTTTGAACCGCAATCCTCAGGTCTCAGCCTCCTGAGTAGTTAGGATTACAGGCATGAGCCTCTGGTGCCCGGCTGTTTATATTTTGATAAACAGTCTTTATATATAGCCCAGGTCAGTCTTGAACTCACTGCCTCACTCCTCCTTCTTCACCTTTCTGGGTGCTGAAATCACAGGCCTATGTTACCATGCCTGATTGAGTCTTTTGAATACCTAGGTAACAGGCTTTTATTAGCTTTCCATCATAATAACAAAATACTTGAGGTAATAAACTTGTAAAGAGCAAAGGCTTGTTTGCTCTCACCTTTTGGAGAATCCAGTCTGAGATTTTTTGCTGTGTTATTTTGGGCCTATATAATGCAGCAGCACATTATGTTAGAAGGGTATAGTAGAACAAAACTGTCTATCTCACTACCTAGGGAACAAAAGACAAAATCTGGTCCCCCATTCCCTTTGAGAACATGTCCCAGACAACCTAAGGTCCTCCTATAAGGTCCTACCTAAAGGTCTACAACACCCTCACTATTTCTGACTTGGGTACCAAGCCTTTAATATATGGACCTTTTGGGGATATTTAACATCCAAACTATTGCCTCAGCCTCTCTAGTACTAGCATTACAGGTGTGAACCACAATGTCTGGCTTCCCCTAAATTGAATTTTCAAGTTAAACACCCCAAACTCCTTGTATATCCTCTATTTCAAACCTTTAATCATTTAGGTTACCTTCTTTGGAAATGTTCTGCTTTGTCAGTCTTGTTTTTTTTTTTTTCTGTCGGTCATGGGGCTTGAACTCTGGGCTTGGGCGCTGTCCCTGTGCTCTTCAGCTCAAGGCGAGCGCTCTTCTGCTTAAGCCAATGTGCGACTTCTGGTTTTCTAGTGGTTTTTATTGGGGATAAGAGTCTCACAGACTTTCCTGCCCGGGCTGGCTTTGAACCTCGATCCTCAGAACTCAGCCTCCTGAGTAGCTAGGATTACAGGCGTGAGCCACTGGTGCCCGGCTTCAGTCTTTTTAAAAAAATGAGCCCAGAATGGAACATGGCGATCCAAAAAATGTCCTTGAATTATTAGTCTCTTAAGCTGGCCACTACCATTGTTAATACAGGCTAAAATTGTTTTAGCTTGTATTCTGAAGCAAATCACATTCATATGGAGTTTGTAGACAAAACCTTCATGGTCTCTTTTGTTTTTATGTTGGTTGGGCTTGGGGCTTGAACTCAGAGTCTGGGTGCTGTCCCTGCTCTTTTTTGTTTGTTTGTTTGCTTGTTTTATCTTTTACTTTTTTTTTATTCTTTTTTTTTTGGGGGGGGGTCTGGTCATGGGGCCTGAACTCTGGGCTTGGGTGCTGTCCCTCAGCTCTTCAGCTCAAGGCTAACACTCTAGCACTTGAGCCACAGCACCACTTCTGGCTTTTTTCTTTTTGCTTATCTGGTGCTGAGGAATCGAACCCAGGGCCTCAGGCATGCAAGGCAAGCGCTCTACCACTGAGCCACCTTCCCAGCCCTTATCTTTTACTTTTTTAAAAAAATTTTTTGTTGTGATTAAGTGGTTACATATTAAGTGGTCACAAATTTCACAGTATTGTGAGAT